TAATGTGGCAAAGACAGCCTCTTTAATAAGTGGTGCTGGGAAGACTGGACATATGTAAAAGAATGAAAACAGAACACTTCCTAAAAACTGAAAACGAATTAAGGGCTTAAATGTAAGGCTAGAAACTATAAAGCTCTTAGAGGAAAACAGGCAGTACACGTAAATCACAGCAAGATTCTATTTGACCTACCTCGTAGAGTAAGGGAAATAAAAACAAAAACAAACAAATGGAACCTAATGAAACTTAAAAGCTTTTGCACAGCAAGGGAAACAATAGACAAGATTAAAAGACAACCCTGAAGGTGAGAGAAGGAAATGGCAACCCACTCCAGTATTCTCATCTGGGAATCCCATGGACAGAAGGGCCTGGCAGGCTACCATCAATGGGGTCAGCAAGATTTGGACACGACTGAGCACTAGAGAACTTAGAATGGGAGAAGATAATTGTATATGAAACAACTGACAAAGGATTAATCTCCAAAATATATAAGCAGCTAATACAGTGCAATATCAGAAAAGAAAAAAAAAAACCAGCCCAATCAAAAACAGGCAGAAGACCTTAAAAGACATTTCTCCAAAGAAGACATACAGATGGCCAATAAACACATGAAGACACTGAATATCACTAATTGCTAGAGAAACTCAAATCAAAACTACAATGATGTATCACCTCACACCAATCAGAATGGCCATTATCCAAAAACCTACCAACAGTAAATGCTAGAAATGATGTGCAAGAAAAGGGAACCCTCTTGCACCGTTTGGTGGGAAAGAAAATTGATACAGCCACTATATGTAACAGTATGGGAGATTTCATACTGATGTATGGAGAACAGCATAGAAATTTCTTAGAAAACTAGGACTAAAACTACCATATGACCCAGCAATCCCACTACTGGGCATATACTCTGAGAACATCATAACTGAAAAAGACACACATACCCCAAAGTTCATAGCAGCACTATCTATAACAGGTAGGGCAGAGAAGCAACCTAGATGTCCACTGACAGATGAATGGATAAAGAAGATGTGGTTCGTATATACGATGGAATATTACTCAGTCATAAAAGGAAACAAATTTGAGTCAGTTCTAGTGAGATGGATGAACCTAGAGCCTGTTATACAGAGTGAAGTCAGAAAGAGAAAAAAAATACCGTATATTAACACATATACATGGAATCTAGAAAAATGGTATCGATGCAGATATAGATAATTGACTTCTGGACATAGTGGGGGACGGAGAGAGTGGAACAAATGGAGAAAGCAGCTCAGACATATATATACTACCATGTTTAAAATAGGTACCTGGTGAGAAGCTGCTACATAACACAGGTTACCCAGCCAGACGGTCTGTGATGATCTTGAGGGGTGGGATCAGAGGAGGGGATGGAGGCTTAAGAGGGAGGAGGTATATGCACAATTATGGCTGATTAGCACTGTACTACAGAAACCATCACAACATCGTAAAGCAATTTTCCTCCAATTAAAAAATACCTAAGAAGTAGGTGGAATGAAAGTTTGTAGTAGACACTGGTGATATGGAACTGGAATAAATTGGTATTATAGTCAGCCCTCAGTATCCTAGGGGGACTGGTTCTAGGACCTCTTCAGATACCAAAATGTACAGATGCTCAAGTTCCTTATATAAAAAGTATTTTAATATAGTCTACACCCATCTTCTCATATACTTTAAATCATCTCTAAAGTGAAAGTCACTCAGTTGTGTCTGACTCTTTCTGACCCCATGGACTATACAGTCCATGGAATTCTCCAGGCCAGAATACTGGAGAGCGTAACCTTTCCCTTCTCCGGGGGATCTTCCCAACCCAGGGATTGAATTGAGGTCTCCTGCATTGCAGGCAGATTCTTTACCAACTGAGCTATAAGGGAAGCCCACTAGACTACTTATACCTAACACAATGTAAATAGTATGTATACTGTTGTTGCTGCATGGCAAATTCAAGTTTTGCTTTTTGGAAATTTCTGGAGTATTTTTTCAAATATTTTTTATTTGCAGTTGGCTGAATTCAAGGATACAGAACCTACAGACACAGAGGGTTGACTGTATGTGTATATGTGGAACTTCCTAGTGGTTGACTTGAATTGGTGAGGAGAGACAGGATCTTTAAGAGCTGTGATGAGGAGGAGAAGGGAGGAGTACCCAGGTCTGGTTATAGACCCCACAGCTGGAGCAGCAATTTGGTATGGGGGCTAAAACAGATTCAGAGCAGTACTGCCCGGGGCTGCTGAGACATATCCCCACTGTCACTTATGAGCTGTGCGATCTCAGGCAAGCTATTCAAACCTCTCTGAACCTCAGTTTCCCCATTTGTAAAATGGGGGTGATAATGTTATCTATGTTGCTAGTTTGTTGTGAGAATTAATGAGCTAACATATGTAAACTATGAAATACCTAAACAGGAATATGTAAACAGAACCACTACCTGGTAACATGGTAAAAATTATATATGTGCTTGCTTTTATTACAAATATTGTTACTGATGGTTGGGAAGAAAGGAAGGAGAGAAGAAAGAAAGGTAATGAGATTGGGGAAATACATTACAATATGGTAGTGTGTGATACTGATGTGGATTATCATTTATATAGATATGAATTGCTCAATAAAAAAAGCTAAAAAGATGGAGGAGTAGACACTAAATTTTAAGGAGACCAGACATTGTGTCCCTTTAAAAGTGGGCCTTTAAGAAATGAATTTCCCTCCATTACTGACTGAGAACAGTTACTGAAACATTTTGTCATTTCACTGATTGTTCTTTGTGTATCTCCACCTCTGCCTACCCACCTCCAACATTGTGCAAGCCATTTATCTAATTTTTTTCCAATTTACATGTCAGTCTGACCTTCTCAATTGTAAGCTGAGAATGAGCATCTTGGCATCTTACATACCTAGTCCAGCATTTGGCACATACAGTTATCGAATACATGTGGAACAAATTACTTTATGGGAAAAAATACAGATGGATCATAAAAACTTTTAAGTATATCCCTTCCTTAGGTAAGTCTTCCCTTCTGAAAGCACAATCTAGCTTCCTGCTCTGGAGGAGCCCTCAGGAGAGGTGATGGGAGATGCCCCTTCCTCTCATCTTAGAGAAGGAAAGGGCAACCCACTCCAATATCCTTGCTTGGAGAATCCTATAGACAGAGGAGCCTGGTGGGCTACAGGCCATGGGGTCACAAAGAGTCGGACACGACTGCATGCATGCTGAGACCCCAGACCTGACTGACAACTGACTCTGCTTCCATTTAAATAAGCGAGGATCCCAGGAGAGGCGGCACCACAGGCCCTGCCTCAGACCTGCCAGGAAAACAGTCATATCATGTCCCTAAAGAGGGGCAAAATGAGAATGACTGGTGAGCAACAGCCCTGGTGACAAATTATAGTTTTACTAATAGTTTATGATTTTCAATTTGTGATGTTTAGACTGTGTCCCTATGGACTGAATGTTTCTGTTCCCCTAAAATCCATATATTTAAAGCCCAAGCCCCTCAGTGTTATTTGCAGGTGAAACTGTTGGGAGGTAATGAGGTTTAGATGAGGTCATGAGGGTAGGGCCCTCATGATGACATTAGTATCCTTATAAGAAGAGGAAGAGAGAACAGAGCTCTCTCTCCACATGTGAAGACACAGTGGAGCAGGCCATCTGGAAGCCAGGAAAAGATCTCTCACCAGAACTCAACCATGTGGCACTTCGATCTGGGACTTCCCAGCCTCCAGAGATGTGAGAAATAAATACTAGCAGTTTCAGCCACCTGGCCTGTGGTATTTTACAGCAGCCCAATGTGACTAAGACACTCACACAAACTTTTTCGCCTTGAAAAAATAACGTGAAAGTCACTCATATACTTGACTATGAGAACAAGTAGTGTTCCAAACCCTGGTTACAAATGATACTCTCAAAAATATGGCCAATACTGATTTTTTTCAGATGCACCCAGTGCTGGGATACACTTCAGAGGCATTATTTACTTGTCACAACCACCCTATGAGGCTGGTACTATAACCATCTTTTTTTTTTTTTCTTTCTTAAACAGGGAAGGACTTGGAGCTGAGGGAAATGAATTCATTTGGCCAAGGTCACAGAGCAATAAGTGGTGCAGCTGGGATTGAAATCTCAGAGAGCCTTTAACTTAGCTATGGTACTTAAAAAAAAAAAAAATCAAGGCATGTGCATCCATAGAACTTCCAAGGTAGATGTCAGCAACTGACGGCAAACTGATTGGAGAGGCCACGTGAGCAGATTTTTCTTTTGTTTTTTAACACAAGGAGGTGCAGTAGCTGCTCATCAGGACCTCCTGCTGCTGCTGGCTGTGGTGTGTAAGTGTCGTGGGGTGAACACAGTCAGTTCCTCTTCTTCCTCCTCACTCCAGGAGTGAGGAACCCTCCTTCCCTCTGTCCTCAGCATGTTGGCAGGGAAGGTTTCACTGTGGCCAGCTCACGTCCTAGGCAGGAAAGAATCAGGCACCGCTGATTTTCAATTTATAACTCTTCAATAATTGAGGGCAGCAGGAATTAAAGAAAATCCACTAGGATTAATCCCACTGGCTTTCCCAGAAATAGAAGGTATCTGTGGAATCTGTGTCTGTAATATCTCATTAATTTTTCAATGTCCCCAATATGCTCGATGCTGACTGCAAACTGGGGCATACGCTTGTGCAAGTTTTCTTCATCAAGTGAGCAGTTTCCTACGCTGTGTCAAGTTATAAATTTGGAGCTGTAAGGCATTGCAATATTAGGACTGCTTTGTTTTCTTGCAGAGCTCATTAACCACTGGCAATTAGCACTGTATCACTGCACCAAGTGGCATCATTTGGCAAGTTCTGTATCCACTACTACAAACGTGATGATATAATTTAAACTTCCTGTGCCATCTGCTGTCACAAGAAAGTAAAGTATGATGAAGAGGCTTTTCAGACATTCCTTCATTTCCCAGTTACTGGAGACTTAATTAAAACAAAAATGACAATTGCTCAACACTCACCACTCCTCTCTTGGAGAAAGGCCATCTTGGCTTTTTGGATTCTGGTGGGTGAAGAAATTAAGAGAAGATGTGTTAGTACTTTGAGGAACTAGTGACAGATCAAGGCAGTGCTTTACAAAACCCGCTTTTCCAAAGGAGTCAAACAGAATTTTTCCTGCTTTAACTCTCCTTCTCTTGAGAATGCACAGAATGAACATTTATATTTATGCAGCTGAGTGAATGAAACAATGTTGCAACTGAAAGGCTGGTGTTCTCTTGCTACCTTCTGGTGATACTGTCCTGTTTCAGCCTCTTTTCCCCCTACCATTCCAAGGAGAAATCTATAAAATGCAATAAAATACTGCATAATTAATTTTAGACAGAGTTATAGGACTTTGGGGGCTGAAAGGGCTTCATTGTAACACTGGAAACCACCCTAGCATATAACCCCCAGGTGTGGATGAATGCAGACTCCTGAAATAGGGGGACATCAATATATCACCAATCTTTAGATCAGGGGCTTATTATCTCTACTGGACATCATCCACAGAGTCCTTAGGAGTTGCCTCAAATCAAGAAGTCACTCAGTAATACATTCTTTTGATGATCAGGAAGTAGAGAGATTAGATTGTGGATTCTCGATTTTTATGTCATTTTCATTAATTTTTAATGCAACGCAGAAAAAGCTGGGAATCATCTCTCAGGTTTAGGTGAGATGTTCTGATAATTCCACACACAAAATGGATGTCTTAAAGGTTTGTCTCTGTTTCTACTCCTTCATCAGGAGATTCTGCATAATATTAATACTTCCATCAGATGAAAGCATTTACCAAAAAAGAGTGTGCTTGAGGGACTTTTCCCATTAGAACCCTGGAATCCAATAAATTACCTTGCTCATTCTGACCACCTTATTGATCTTTCTAAAGGGGAGATTAGGTGGAACCTCCCTTAGAGACAAATCTGCTTTACCACTCTCAGCCTTCAAACGTCTGGAGTTAAATTACGATGTCAAAATTGAACTGCGATAATTGGCATCTCTGGAGAAACACCACATGAGACCATGGTTTGGGGACATGAGGACTCTATTCTAAACTCCTGGAGACGAGGGCATGGAGGGATATGGTGAAGAATGTTCCGTATCTTTCATTATGTGGCATCTACTGTGATGCCAGGCACACCCGCCTAGCAAAGAACAAAGAATATCATGCAGCAATTGTGACCTTGTTCCTCAGCATAGTGGATCTCAACCTTTAGCTGGCAAAAGAATCACCTGGGGGCTTACTAAAAAACATACTGCTGGGCCCCATTCCCAGAGTTTCTAGTTCAGAAGGTCTGGCTTGGGACCGCACAATTTTTCAGACAATGCTGAAACTCTTCATCTGGCAGGTACTGATTTAGTTGTTACCCAATTTAGAGCATTTGCAAAGCATTACAGAACATGGTCTAACTCTTAAGGCTACACTGTGGTTAGAACTAGCTTTAATGTCAAGAGGCCCGGCCTTGAGTCCCTTGAGTCCACTGAATCCCTTTTTGTGTGTTCATTTGGATGGCCATATCCTATGAGACAGATGGTCACTTGCATTGTTGTGTTATCTAAGACAGTAGATGTGAAAGGGGTTTACAAAGACTGAAGGGCTATATGAATGTCATTTATACTTCATTCACTTACGGCTGAGTTGCTCACATAAGACTACGGCTGCCTGTACAACGGGTGGCTGGTGCAGGCTGGTGGACAGAACACTGGGCTAGCCAGCAGTCAAGAGTCTGAATCCCATTCCTCCGACACCAGCGGGCACCACGACCAGCTCACCCTTCCTTGCCGGGTCTCGCCTGGCACACACATGGGAATGAGGAAAGAGCTGGGTGGTTTCCCAAGGATGCTGCCACAGGTGGCCCCGTGCTTCAGGGGGAATGCCTCGGAGGTGAGTCTTTGGGACTCGCCCCATTTTCAAGCACTGAAACTCCATCTGGATCTGTTTTGTGGACTGGATTTCCAGGTAAGGACTCTTCTGTAAAAAAAGGGCTCTGCTAAGAACAAAGCCAGTTTAAAAACTAGCAGGGTGAATGATAATATTCAAGTCTCCTTTTAGCTCTGAATGGCTACCATTGGGACCATGGGAATGTGTCCCGAACACTGCAACTGTTCTTTTTTTCCACAACTGACTTCAAAATGCAGAAGATTCACCCTTAAGGCTGCCTCCTTCTAATCTGCTCTAACAGAAATCTGCTGTCACCAGGGCCTCTGTCTCCACGGGTACCACCCTCGTTGGAGACACTGGTGTGAGGCTGAAGGCCAGGAGCAGGGAGTGGATGACAGCAATGGTAGGGATGCTGCCCACCAGCCCAGACAGGGCATCCTGCTCCAGGAAGGTGACCATCACTTGGTACACCTGTTCCAGGTCCTGCACATGAGGTATATTATTTGACAAGAGGACCTTTTGAGGGAGGTCCATAACTTATCCATCTCTCTAAGTGGGACGCCCAATTCAGTTGGTTCCCATAATTCACGGCTGATGCTTGTCCTAGTTGGTGAGATTATCTAACTTGTTAGTGTGCATGTTCTTGTAGTCATTAAATATTCTGTAAATATCCTCTGCTTATTATAACATCCATCCCATAGCGGGCATGTAATAAAAGTTGAACGGACAGGACCTGAATTCAGCAGCAGAAGTGGATGGCACAGGTAGTCCGCGGCTCCAGCTGACACCAGAAGGTCCCCGGGGAACACCTCAAGGCCAGGTAAGTTGAGCACCACAGAACTCCTCCTGTGCTCATAGAACCTGTGTTCAGGAGATGGAAGGGGAGTGCTTATAGCTGACATGCAGGGAGTGGTATCACTCAGACCAACCCTGGGTACTCAGAAGTGACTGCTGGCAGCTCGATTAATGCTGGCTTTCTTAGGAGGCCACTCCAGGCATGGAGGGCTGTGATGACCCCCACACCCCATGTTTGACACCTTTTTGAGTCTTACTGACTGTTAATGGTTTTTGACTAATCCAAAGCAGAAGAGTTTACCTGGAAGTGTCAACACAAATATACCAGATGTGTTCTGACTCAGGAGGACATTAGGAGAAAGCCTTTAAACACAAGAGTCTTTGCAAGTTACTCATATGGCCTCAGAGGGAACAGGATGCACGTGTACCGCCACACACCCCCCTAGATATCGGAGGCTCGTTGTTTAAAGGCAACACTTTTATTTTTCCCAGGGAAAAATGGCAACTGCTGTTGGAAAAGCTTAGCCAACAGGCCGATCTACCTTTTCCTTTCTTCTACCCTATTTCATGAAACTTCCTGTCTGTCGGAGGTGCACAAAATAAATGATTGACATCAGACACAGTGCGGAGTAGCTGCAAAACCACTAGGCGTATGATCAGTGATTTCTAAGGAACAAAAGGAGTAAGGAATGACAGCATTCAATTGTAGGGATTTTCACAGTTTCCGCATCAGAGCTGTTCAGATAGTCCTTTAGTCTATTCTGAGGATGAGAAAATGCAATTCCCTCTACTTACCAACCTATGTAATCTCTAAATTCCCCTTTTAATCAAATAGTTTAGCACATCATTTACTTTATACATAGAGGAATTTTGTCTCCAACAAGAAGTATAGCTATGAATTTGCCTTGAATGTTTGGAGTCTGGGTCTGTCATATTCCTTTGGATGTGATTTGGGTCATTGTCACGCAGCCCTCCTCCTCCAACAAGGAGGCCTTGCCTGGAGCCCCTTGAGGCTCCCTAGGCCAGTCCCTCCTCTGATCCTTCCACTTTCCACCTGCCTGTAACACGAGTCCTCAATGCCTTGTAGCCAAGTGCCACACTGCTGACTTTTTTGCAGGACTGACGCCCTTTCTGCCTGTACTTTCATCTCTTAACTGAATATTCTTGGCTCTCATGCTCTTCTTCCTATCAATATATCTGCTGCTGGGGTCCTGCTCATGTCCTGTCAGGCCTAACATGCTGTTGACCAAAGCCTGGTATTAGAATAGCCAGTGGAATTTATTTTATTACCCATCCCCAAGTCCTAACTCTTGGCTTCTGATCCAGTAGGTCTGAAGGTGGACCTCTGCATCTGCGGTTTTAAATTGCTACAAAATCTATGAGGTAAGAATGCCTCAGATTCTGCAGACAGATGACAGAGGCATAAAAGAAAGTTAACTGTCAGTTTTAAAAACCTGCTTCCTCTAAGAAATCTCCTCTGATGCTCAAAGAAATATTTCTTCATATTTGCGTGCTGTCTGGCATCCCCTAGACCAGGTCCTCAATGGCTTCCATCTGTATTAACACAGCTGTCTCATCACTTTTATCTTCACCTTCTGCTCCATCATTTTGGTCCCATCCCACACCCAGTCACTAAATGCAAGTTATCCAAAATATAAGTCTGGCCCTAGTCCCTCCTAGCTTCAGATAAACATGTTTTTAAAGAATCCATACAAGCCTTCCATGAACTGGCCCAGTAACCTTCCTAATACTTTTTACTTTGCCATTTCTTCTCTGGGAATGGATTGTGATTTCCCACACAAAATGCTTCACATGTCAGTGACTTAACTAGGAATGCTTTGTACTCTCTCTGCCCTCTCCAAACCTCTAGCTCCTATTCATCTCATGAGATTTAGGGGCCATGGATTATCTAAGGAACTTGAAAGGAAATTACTTAGATAAAATCAGGCTCAGATTTATTCAATTAGCTGCATTTCCTAGGGTTTAAAAATTTATTCTGACTGGCCTCTCTCTGTTCCTTTTTTTTTTTTTAATTGGAAAATTTTAGAATAGAGTTGCAGAACTGCTAGCTATCAAGCCAATGTGCCTGCCCTTGTCAAAACACTGCTTGACAGGGGTGCCATGTGCCGAGTTAATGCACTGACAAGCCCTGATTCCCTTGCAGCTAGCAGAGGGTATGTAACACAAATTTGGCCAATGAGATTTAAACCGAAGTTTCAGGGTGTAGCTCTTGGGAAAATTTTTCAAAGGGGACAAAGGAGGCTAGATTCGCCCTTTTCCCTTATTGTTGTCATGAACATGGCTTGATACCTGAAAGTATACCAGTAATCTTACAAATGAAAGAGCAGAACAGGAGAAAAGAAGGGGCCTGACAGGATTGGTTATGTTATAAGAGAATATCCTTTACTTGCTTATGTTGTTCTAGTTGGGTTCTGATATGCAGACAAAGGCTGTCTTAACTGATACACATCTCCTCATCTTGGACGTCCTTCTCCAAGAATTCTGCACTCTCATTTGACTTTCTCACCACCTATTTTTGATGAGGTTTTTAACAAAATCATTAGAGTTACAATTTTTCACAACACTCCCACTTTTGTTATTTGCCAATCTAATGTCCATGGTGGTTATGAGGATGGAGGGGTCTGAGTTAAGTGGAAGCTGGAAAACTTACAGTAATTTGAATGAGAAATACAATTCTAGTTTCTTCATTTTGCAAGCAGAACACTGGAACTGATATGTAATGAATTAGCAGTACACAGATCCAGCCAGGAATCTTCACATTGCTATCCAAAAGGTATTAGGTAGCATAAACTACTGGGAGCCCCAAGAGGTCCCCCGAAAACAAGTATTAGAAGCTTCCCTGTAAACTTGACACTGTTCCTGATAAAGACCTTGGAAGCATATAATGAGGTTTGGTATTTATGGAGATAGAGGGGATTGGAAAAAATACAGTAATTTAAATAGGAAATGTAAGCTACATAAACTTTGGGAGAAAAAGTTTAGTCTTTTGAGCTTAAACTCTAGATGGTATACAATCTGGTAAGTACAATGAATTTGGCTTAAGACTTTGAGAGGACATAATGAATGGTGGAATAGAAGAATCTGTCTTCCCTGGCCTCTTCCAAGCTGGCTTATGCATTTCTCTTCCATGCTTCTATAGTTCTTTAGAACAATGGCTAAGAATGTGGAGTCAAACTGCCTGGATTTTAATCTTAGCTGAGTGACCCTGACTGAGCAAGTAATCTCTCTGGTCCTGACTGCCATTTGTGAAATGTAGACAATAATCACACCTACTTATTGTGTGAAGATTAACCGATCAACATACAGCACTTAGATCCGTGACGGGAACTTAGTAAGCTGTCAGTAAACGTGATTATGTTGGTCGTCGAATATATTATAATATCATGTTCTATTTATGTGTCTGTTTATCCTACTAGAATGCCATCTCCTATTTAAGAAACATGTCTTATCATTTGTGTTGGTGGGTGCTCCTTTAGTACTCAATCCATGGTTACTGATGAACATGAATGATAAAAGACTCTTCTGAGGCTGTCCTCCCTTGCGGTAAGTATCTCACTTTACAGGATAGTAATGCACATTCATGTCTTATCTACTCCTCTCTCACCCTAAGTTCCTACCTCCTGGTCTAAATCCTCGTGTTCAGTAAGGGGTCAATAAATGTTCCTTGACTAAATGAACAATAACCAAACCTGTGCACACCGAGCCATTGCTCTCCCTTTCTGACACAATCTTCTGCAGGATGTGTACTCCAGCAAGAGCTGGCTACTCACTGTTTAAACTTACCCCGCACGTCACGCCTCCATGACTTGGCTCAGGCAGTTCCCATCTGCCTGCCTAGCTCCACTTTGCCAGGCACACATACTCAGAGGCATCGCTAAATTCTAGCTTAGATGCTCTCCCTCCAGAAATCTTTTCTAATCCACCCAAAAGAGAGCCACCTTGCCCTACTTCCTCCCACTTCCTCCCACTTTGCCTCTACAATGATTTCACTGAAGGCTCATGCTGTGTCTTCTTATCACAGAATTTCAGCACCAAGTACAGAATCTGACATAGAATAAATATCCAAATAAGCTTGTTGAATAAACAGCCATGTTGATCTATAGAATGATATACAGATAGATTCCAAATGAATTTGCTCTTCCATTCTGGATCACAAATGAATAAAATTGTATGCATACACAATACACAGAATGCAATGTGAGTTCCTCCACCTTTAAAAGTGATTCGGTTACCCGCATCCATTTCTTCCGGGTCTGGGATACGCGCTGACATGAGGCATCCTTTGGAGAGCACATCAGGGCAGGTTTTGGCCTCAGTGTGCACACACGGAACAGGGGGAAAACAACTGCCTGGTACTAGGCTTGAGTCATGACCTTGGCCTTGTTGCCTTGGTGTCTAAGACCCAGGGACGCTCATTCTAGAAAGGTAGGCATGCCCATGGAATGGTGTAACAGAAGCTCTGATGACATTTTTGTGTTCATCAGAAGAGGGAATGGGTTAATAAAAATACCAAGAATTACAGCTGTAACCAAATGGAGACCTAGGAAAACAATAAGAAAGAACATTTGCACATAATAAATGAAGAGACATGAACTGGGACAGAAAACCTGCCTCTGCATCACCTGGGCCTGGCAGCAGACTAGATTTCTGGGCACTCTGCACAGGAACCCCTGCCTGTATCAGCCAGAGAGGCCCAGATTATTGGGTTAGTGATGTTAATGCAATTGCAATGAATTCAGAATGACTGTGCATTTAGGTCTCATGGGGGGGAGGTGCTGGTGGTTCCAAAGTGAAAGTGTTAGTCACTCAGTCATGTCCGACTCTTGTGACCCCATGGACTATAGCCCACCAGGCTCCTCAGTCCATGGAATTATCCAGGCAATAATACTGGAGTGGGTAACCATTCCCTTCCCAAGGGGATCTTCCTGACCCAAGGATCGAATTTGGGTCTCTTGCATTGCAGGCAGATTCTTTACAACTGAGCCACCAAGCAAGCCCCACCTACTGCTTTTAGTAACTGCTAAAGGATAGTAAACTCATCACTG